GTATGTGATCACTGTGGCAAACCATTTGTACAGTATGCAAAGCTAAAAGCCCATGAAGTTACCCACACCGGTGTGAAACCGTACCATTGTGACCAATGTGGGAAAGCCTTCAGCAACATTTCCTCCCTAAACACTCACCTACGTGTCCACACTGGGGAGACACCATACAGATGTGACGAGTGTAGGATGACTTTTACAACTTCAGCTTCCCTGAAAGAACACCAACGGATCCACACCAGAAAGTGGCGCCACAGCGAGGTATGTAAAGACTGGTGTCAGTAATGCTGTACACAATATTCTGCATTTGGATATTTCACTGTGCATTGAAATTTAGTGTCCAACTGTTTTGAATAACTGTGGTCAGTCCAATGAACACATTATGAGCGGTCATTCAGTCTAACTTGTACTGACTTTGACCCAGAAATCTGGTCCAGTTTAATCTAGGAATGTAGGTAAAATTGGGAATTCTGGTGTGATCAGTATCAGCACAACCCTGTTCTCAAAACTTTCTTTAAACACATAAACGTGAAAAGACATCACAACAGTGTTAAATATTCTATTGGGATGTTGCATGTCTAACCTATATGAATCCAGCTTCATTCATCACTTTTTTGCTGGCGTCATGTCAATGAGCCTCATGCAAGTCTCTGTCTCAGTGCTCCTTTTGTGGCTAAGGTTCAACAATGCTCTGTGCTTTCCAGCCAGTAACAGTCTTGAGGCTCTGGTAAGAAGCTCCACCTTGTGGTGCAACTAGGTACTGCAGTTCATCTCCAACTTGAATCCACTTCTATAATCCAGGGATATGATATCAGCAGATGATAAATATTGACCGACTAAATATCAACCGACAGATCGTGAGCCAAAAGTTGTTGTTTGGGACATCCCTAGTTTAAACCCCTGCAGCCCTGCTCTTCGTATACGAGTTAAATTTCCTGGACAGTCAGACAACTGAGTGTTAACTTTCAAAAGATATGAATATGCGCAGATGTTGGTAGAGGTTCTATTTCAGGCAAGCCATCCATTCTTCAATGCTGCATGAAACCTTGACTAATTCTGTGTTTTTGTTTTTGAAGCAGAGCGGCACAGATGGACAAACCTCTCACACTTGTCAGCCTCTGCCAACAGTGAACAGTACTGTTGTGACTAGTGTGGATGACCTTTCTACCAACAAGGAACCCTCCGGAGACACCATCGTATGCACACTAGATACAAACTGAACCCCTGCGAAGAACAATCCCCAAGCTGAGTTCAGTTGAAGTTCATGAAGACACTCACAAACTTAAAATTCTTGAGAGGTTAAATCTGGACTAGATTTCACCAGAAGACATGTAGAGACTCTGAAGTCACCTGGTAGAAGGTTCTTTGGTTTGGTGTCCTCATACCATGATTCACTGCTGCCGCTAGCAGGCTAAAAAGCCTGGTTTGAGCATGATCACCGTGCGGTTTAGTTTACTTAGGTTTATTTAGTTTGACAAAATTGTAGCTCAGGTGCTGTTCAATGTTGTCGTGTTTGATTGCTTTCTCATACACTGTGTGGACGAAGGTGTTTGAACACACCATCATTAAATTTGAGTCATTTATTTAAACCCATTGCCGTTGGTTCTTTTTTATCATAAACTCTAGATATTTTAAATGGTATCTGTAAAGTTTTAGCTCAAAATATCAACTTCTTTCCTCAACATTTAAAAAGAAGAAAACTGTCTTTTGGTCCACTTTCAGCAGGTTTTTCGCACACTGAACTTTGGGGCTGTTTGAACAACAACATCTCAGAAACTAATTAAATCACCTGAAATTTTTGCTGCTGGTTGTTATCATGACTTTGAGTCACAATATGCAGTGTCGTACAACTTGTCATATCTGCTCAGTCAGTTATANAAGAGTGAAATTCACTGTTTAGTCAATTCAAATTGGTCAGGGCCGGCCCTGAGACACTTTGACACTTGAGTATAGAATGGTGTCCTAATCAAGATCTGTTTGATGTCACAGGTGATTGACAAGAGGAAGAGAGTCTGACGGAGGAGCAGAGGAACGTTGGCAGCCATTTTGTCCAAGCTCAGCACTGGAGGAAAAATGGATTCTTCACAAGAAGTGAGAAACATATCACTATAATAATACTTTATTTTCTAAAATGTGGTATTTATGGACAGGATCTGAAGGAACTGTGGTGAGGAGGGTGTCCGGTTTGTGGACCTCCATGTCACATCTCTGCTTTTTACAGTTGATGTGGGTTTGCCCAGCAAGCTCTGGGGGCTGGACAGCCCCGGGGGTGCAGCCTAAAAGAACGTCACCACACGAGGCCTTGGTTCACTTCCAGAAACCAGCCGAATGCTACCTCTGGTTTGGGATGAGTTTCCTGGTCAAACGAAGGAGTTCAGGAATCTCAAGATGTTGTTCATGAGTGATGGGAACAAAAAGCATGAGACAGACAGGAGCAGCACTAATGCAGGCATTCTACTGGATTTTTAAGGTGAAAAGAAGCTGAGCCGGATGGCGATGCTCTCGTTTTGCTAGTCCGTCTTTGTACCAACCCTCACCTATGGTCTTGGTGTCGAGGTAGTGTCAGAAAGCAAGACATCACAGATACAAGCAGCTAAGGTGAGATTCTCCTGTAGAGGGGCTAAAGTCAGCCTGAGAGATAGGGTGAGGAGCTTGGAGTAGAGTTGGAGCGATTTTGCGTCAAACGGAGCCAGCCGATGTGGTTTTGGGCATCTGATCAGGATTCCTCCTCGGCCCCTTTCTTTGCGGGTTTCCTGAGCATGTCCAACTGGGTGCAGACCCCGAGACAAGGCCAGAATTCAGTGGCAGAATTCCATATCTCATCTGGCCTGGTAACAACCTCTGATCCCCCAGGACCTAATGGAAAGTGTTGTTAGGGAAAGGAACGTCTGGAATGACCTGCGTAGCCTGCTGCCACCGTGATTCGGCTCTGGATGTCAGCGTTGTGTGCTTTAC